AGAATTTGTTGCTAACTAACACCCCCTAGCAAAAGTCTAAAGGAAAGCTCTTCAAACAGAATTTAAAAATTATTTTAAAAAAATGGAAGGTCAGAAGCGAAGAAATAACAGTGAAAAGAAAAATATCTCTATATAGTTAACAGTAAAATTATAGGCTATCCTTCTTTTGAAATTTTAAAATTATGTTTTAATGTTGAAGCAAAAAGTATAACATTTAATGAGTTTTTCAATGTATTTAGAGAAAATATTTAAGACAATTATATAACAAAGGGGGGGAGCACAAAGGGATACATATAAAATTAAGGTTTCTACACTCCACCTGAAGTGGTCAAATGCTGATACCAGTAGACTATAATGTTATATGTATAACACTTAGAGCAAACACTAAAAAACTAACTCAGAGGTATACTCCAAAACCCTATAGATAGATAAAAACGTAATTCTAAAAAAAAAATGTTCAAGTAACACATTAGAAAGAAGGAAAAGGGAAGCAAAGGAAACAAACAAAATAATAACATAACAAGCTTAGCTCTAAGATATCAATAATGCAAGATATAATGTCAGCATGAAAAATGTAACTTACTCTATACACTAGCAAATAATACCGTTTATAATACATCCAAAATTTAAATACTGGGGTTTGTTTTTTTTACTTTTAAACAATTTTTATTGAATTTACTGGGGTGACATTGGTTAATAAAATTATATAGGTTTCAAGTGTACAATTCTATAATACATCATGTATATACTGTATTGTGTTTACCACCCAAAGTCGTTTCCTTCTGCCACATTTGTCCCCTCTTCTACCTGCCCCCACCCCCTTTCCCTCTGGTAATCGCCATACTGTTGTCTGTATCTAAGAGTTGTTTTTGTTTTCGTTTTGCTTAATTCCTTCACCATTTCATCGATGAAAGAAATCTCAGTTAATTAAGAGACATGCCATATTCATGGAATAGAAGACTCAAAATAGTTAATATGTTCATTCTCTACAAACAGATCTATAGATTTAGCACAATTCCAATCAAGATTTCTACATGATTTTAGTAGCTGCAGTTATTTATTTAACCTATTTTTGTAGCTAAAACTTATATGGAAAAGCAAAGAAAAGCCGTGACAATTCTGAAAAAGAATAAAGCTATTTGACTTACACTCAGTTTAAGACTTCTCAGAAAGTACAGTAACCAAGACAATGTGGTGTTTACTAAAGCTTAGGAATTCAGATTAATGGAATAAAACAGAGTACTGAAATAGGCTGACAGAAATATATTCAGTTGATATTTGACAGTTACAAAGCTGATTTATTGGAGAAAAGCTAGTCTTTTCAAAAATGACGTTGTTACTATTGGACAAAAATTTGCATAAAATATAAAATAAACTTCAACCTGTAATTTACATCCTATACAAATATTAGCTCAAAATGGATCACAGAGGTAAATAGAAAACTTTTAGAAGAAAACATGGGAGAAAATACTTGTGACTTCAGGTCAGAAAAATAGTTATTAGATATGACATCAAAGCCATGATCCACAAAAGAAAAAAATTAATAAATTGAACTTCATCAAAATTAAAACTTTTGTCATTCAAAAGACACTGTTAAGAGAATGAAAAGGTAATCTATAGAGTGGGAGAAAATTTTGCAAACCACATATTTGTCTAAGGACTTATATAAAAACTATATAAAAACAATTATCATTTAATCGACTTAATAACAATCAGTTTTTAATGGGCAAAAGATTTGAACAGACATTCATCAAGGAAGATATAAAGACAGCCTGTAAGCAAGTGAAAAATGATCAATACCATTAGCCATTAGGGAAATGCAAATTAATATCACAATGAGATACCAACACACTAAAAAAAGAATGACAACACTAAGTGCTGACAAGGCTGTGCAGCATCTCAGCTCATAGGCATCCCTGGTTGGAATGAAAAATTGCAGAGCCATTCTGGAAAACAGTTTGGCAATTTCTTACAGAGTTATACATACAGTTACCATATACCAGCAATGCAACTAAGGGTATTTCCCCTAAAGAATCAGAAAGTTATTCTCACACACAAAAAAATGTATAGCAGCACTATTCATAACTGCAAAAAAAAAGAAAAGAGCCAAATGTTCTCCAGGAGATGAATAAACAAACTGTGCATCCATACAATAGAATACCATTTGACAATAAAAAGGAACAAACTGGATGAACCAACATGAATGACTCTCAAAGGCATTTTGAAGAGTGAAAGAAGCCAGTCTCAAAAAGTTAAAGCTAGGATCCCATGCGTATGACATTCTGAAAAAAGACAAAGCTATAGGGAGGAAGAATAAATCAGTGGTTGGCAGGTGTTAGGGGTTTGACTACAAAGGAGCAGAAAAAAGAAATTTTTTTGAGATAATAGAACTAGTTTGTATCATGATAGTGGTGGTACTCAAATCTATTGTACAGATATACATAAATATACAGGGTGGGCAAAAGTAGGTTTACAGTTGTTTGTATGGAAAAAGACATGCAGGTTATGGTTTTAACAATTGCTTTATTAACTAAAAAGAATGTCACTCATAACTGTAAACCTACTTTTGCGAACCTCTGCATATTTATATTATATAACATACTCTAATGTGTCATAACTCATGACACATATATAGTTTTTATATAAGTCCTTAGACAAATATGTGGTTTGCAAAATTTTCTCCCACTCTATATGCTAAAAAAGTCAATGTACTTTATGTAAATTTTTAAAAAGCAAAACAAATTTTGTCCTCAATAAACAAATTTTAATGAATAAGTCTTGTTTCACCATTATACTTTTAGTTTTTGTTTAACATCATATTTCATTACATTTAATACTGAACATATTTCCAAAGAAGTTCCCTGAGATTAGAAAATGTCTGATGTTCTCATTTCATTCACCTAGCAGAGTACCTATCACAGAGCAGTAGCTCAAATACACTTGTTAAATAAAATAAGTGTTTCACAAAAAAACTCAACCCTTCCCTCACAAAACATTATTATATGATTTAAAGTTGATATGTTATTTATCATTCTTTAAAGTTTATCAATCTAAATTTCACTATGTTTAACTAAGTTAAGACATATATATAAATGGCTATCACATAAATGAATTTAAACAAATTTCAGGAAGGAAAAATTCGACACGTTTAGCAATGGCTCAGCATTTAATTCAAAAAGCTACTTGTAAGGTACACACATTGCTGAGTGAACAGACAAGGATTCTAACAGTTCTCTAACTTTCTTAAAAAAGCCTTATTACTTTTTCTTTAGTTCTATTTTCTTCATGAATAAAATAAACCTAAATAACCCCCACTTATAGCTAATCTCTGCTTGAAATTTTCTTGGATTAGATTTTACAACTAACTAGATTAGGTCTTCTCACTTAATTCACTTTGTCCAAGATTAATTTTCATATATGTAGACAAAAAGAACATTGAAGATTATCAGAGAAAGTATTGATACATACTACAATATGGATAAACATTAAGAAAACATTATGCCAAGTGAAAGAGGCTAGTCACAAAGGAACACAAATTATATAATTCCATTTATATGAAATGTCCAGAACAGGCAAACCTATAGACACAGAGAGTAGATTAGTGGTTACCTAGGGCTGGGAATGGTAGATGGGAGAATTGGGAAGGTGACAGCTAAATGTGTTGGGGTTTTAGGGGGGAGGTTAATGAAAATCTTCTAAAATTTATTGTGATGCACAATTCTTCAAATATACTAAAAGTGATTGACTTGTTCATTTTTATAGTGAATTACATAGCTTGTGAATTATATCTCAATAAAGCTTTTAAAATTATCAAGGAATATTTCTGGGACAAATCTATAAAATAATTTTCAAGTTAAGAGACTATTATTACATCAAACACTTAGCACTAATAGAGTATAGTACACTTTAAGAGGTAATTGGAAGTATACATTTAAACCTGATATGATCATTTCCTCAAAAGTTTACAACTACACAGAACAGGTGGTAATCAAAAGTTACATGTTTTATTGTATAGTTTATAAAATAAGATTTTGATTTATAGCTAGAAAATTCAATATTAAATTACATTGTACCACACATAATGCTAAGACTAGTGACCTAAAAGACATCCAGGCTTTCCAAAAAATTGCATGGTCTGAATGTAAAAAATTAACTCTAAATGAAGAAATAGTTAAGTAGCAAAAGAGGCTAATTAAGTTCGTCTATCTCCTTTTTGTTTCAAAAAAAGGAAAGTGCTCTTTCTTTCCAAGCTGAATATAATAGCCTGTGAATTACAAGATCAAGGACGCAAACTGTATGTTTTCTAAAATATGAGTATCCTTCATCAAGTTTTATACTTAGGGCAGCTAAAAGACCTATGTGAGGGATCAGCATTAAGCCCAAAGGACAGGCAGTGCACAGCAAGAAAGAAAGAAATTCCCTAGTGTCTTTTGCAGGTCACTACCAAGGACCATGTTAGCAGATCTATACCAGACCCTTAACAGGCAGTTCTGCTGCTACCAGTAATTAGCTTGGACAGCTCTGGCTCCAAGAGTAGCAGCAAGGCTACACCATAATGAGCTCAACTGGGATTAGCAGGACAGGGCAGGGAACCAAGAGAGCTCAGGCATTCTGCATTGCGTATGTATCTAGGAGATCAAACAAGGATGGCTGGCTAGGTTATCCCCTCTCCACCTCATTCCAAAAATGAAGCACGGCAGTGTCTAAAATACAGGCTAATGAAGAGCGACACCTCCAACAGATGAGAGCCACATTAATTAACACAATCCCTAGATCATAATATACAGTTTCAGCTAGAGCTAGCAAATGTGCAACTTGTTATTGCAATATATGTATATATTTTTAAAAGTAGTCCTTTTTATCCTTTAATTTTATACTGGCATAAAAAAAAGATTATTTCATTTCCAAATTTTCAGAGGCATTTCTCTCATGGGCTTTTAGTCACAAAAACTTTCTCACAAATGTTTATCTAAGTCTATATTGTTAAAAAAGAAACTCACTTTTGAATAATTAGCTCCTGGTTTTCCCTTTTGACATGGGCCAGTTCATTCCATACAGCATCAGAATCTTCTTGTTGAAGTTGTTGAGGATCTGCTCTCTTTATTTTTCTGATTTCAGTCCTATTTTTTAAAATAGAGTTGCTTTCTTCCTTAACATGTTTTCAAAGTACAATAAAAAGCCATTTAAACATTCCCTAAATTTTAAAAATATCTACTGACCAAATTTCTAATTCAAACCTACTATTTATAGAATGAATTCCCCAAAACCTAGATACATAGAAATTAATAATCCTATATCATAATTTCCTAAAAAGCTAAACTGTTACTATGGAATGTAAACTTTCAAGCGGACACAGGATATTCTATTTCTCTCATTCATTCTACTAGTAATAAAACATACATTGTAGGACTGTCACAGTTTCTAAAAAAAGGGCTATAAGCAATCACCCCAACCAGAATTTGCTACAAACCTACCGAATATGGTGTATTTGCTCTATATTAAAACAAGCTATTATCACTGAATATGTCAGAAAATAGTTTTCACACTTCTAGTGACTACTAAAAAGTTAGGTGAGCAGTCTAAGCCCAAGAAAAACTGTTTAATCACTGCTTTACTGACAAGCAACATGAAACATTTTCTATTCTTCGAAGGAAAAACTTAGATGTGACAATTATCTACAAAACATGCCAAATGCCCTTTATGTTTTCATTTTCTGTACATAAAACAAACTCTTCCTTTTTATTTTGTAAAAGTGCTGTACTGGCCAATTTAGAAACAGTATTTCTCTATAGAATAGACCAATGTGTACCATCAACATTGCCCTAAAGGATCCATCTCAAAAGATGAGAAGGTAGTAGATTTTCTGTACTCATTCAGTCCTTAGCCCTCTGTTAATACTGTTAACAGGGGAGCCACTTACGACTAACCAAGATCTGAACACCTGTTCAAGAGCAATTGAACTGAGACCGTCAATTCATTCAGATAAGCTGCAGAATAAACTGATGAAGAGTAAAGATTTTCAAATTACATATGAGGCTGAAGTAGTTTTAAGATAGTTAACTATGTATGTGAATTTCCTATTTCTCTCGTCTTTCAATTAAAACATAAATACTTTTTGAGTTATAAATACTGTAACACCAGTATTTTATTTATTTAAAATAGTTTTCAATCAGATGAATATAAACTATTTTTGCTACATTTATTAAGCTACACAGCTGAAATAAAAATGTATACAAGAATTCATAATTACCTACACTAATGATTTCTGCAAATGATAGGAAAACCTACAGTTATTGCTAGCATATTTATCTGTTTTCATTAATTATATTCTCTATTTTAAAATTTACAATAAAGATTTGACTACCAAATAATTTCTTTAAAATCAAACAAAAGCCATTATAACACTTGTATGATGCTACTCCATTCCATTTAATATTTAGGGAAATGCCTTTACGAGCTATGTAACTCACATGCCACTGCCTTCTTCCCACTGTTTTAATTGCTCTTTTACTGCCCTGTAGTTGGTCTGTAACATCTGTAGCCTTTCCTTGTGTTTTTCATAGGCATCTCTTAGCTCATCATTTTCTTGGCTCTATAGAACACAAAAAAGCAAGTACACAAGTTTGAAGAAAGTATTAGTATAATGTTACAAATAAAAGGTTTCCTACTTAAATCTGAAATTTAAAAGAAAATAGCATATAAATATGAATAAATTTATACTACTTATATAACAAGAAGAAAATGAATTCCTGAAGTCACAGAATAGGTTTGCTTGATAAATTCAACTCTCACTGCTTTTGTTAAAAGCTGGTTGAGTAATTTCAAGTTTTTGCTATCAATTTAGCTTTCATCCCATCATTAATACATACAAATATTTATGAGCCAATCTTACAGATGCTTTATTTTTTTTTATTTTTCAACACAAGGGTTTGTCCATATATTAACCTGATTAGTTTGTTAGTTTTAAGTGCACATATAATTTGTGTAAGTGACTAGTAAGACAAATTCTTCAGCCCATGTATGTATTCATGATTAGTTTGTTATAAGGCACAAGTACTACATAAGAGGAAGAAAATCAGTTTGGACCTATGTCAGGAGTAGCGTAGTTTAGCCTTTTGGGTTGTACCATGAAGAATAAATGGGAAAGCTGGGCTTAGTACTGTCAAAGAGGTCATGGATTAGACAGGTCAAACACTATGTGGTTAAACAATTATGTCTCAAATAGAGCACCTGAGATAAATTGTCATTTTTAGATATAACCACAAAATGAACTCATAAAGAGCAAATTTTCAGTTCAGAGGATATATTTACATTACTTATAAACTGTGTTTCACAAAGTAAAATAATTCTTGAGTTTTTTCCCTTGAAAATTTCACATTTGTTTTTTAAACTCCTTTTCATATTTCTGTATGAAGGAACTTGTGTACTTATTTAGTGGGGTCAACAGGTACTCTCTAATACTATAGTGAGGTGAGATAAGTAGACACATGGAAGTCAGAAATATCTGAATTCCATTCTTGAAGCTTTCTCCTGTTAGCTGCATGAATAATCTTAAGAACACTATTTAAATTAATTCAACTTCCTTTTTTGTAAAATATTGAAAATGACATAGAGATTTAAATTATGATGACTAAATTAAATGAACTAACATATAGGTAAAGTCCCTGGCACTGTGAGTGCCCAATAGAGGCGCAAAGCGCAATGCTGTTATCCTTAATGCTGTTACCATTTAGAAGCCAAATTCACTGTTTCCTTGACTATATTTCTCTTATCAATAATAGATAATACTTTATAGAGTTTGCATTATTTTCTTGCAATTCTACCTGTCTCACCAGTATAGATATTTTGTCATTCGACTTTGAATATGTGTCTAAGAGGATAACTTCAGTAATTGTATTAAGTAATTATTAGGAAGTATTTGAGTACTGTTGTACCAGGGGCCTGTATGCCATATGGAAATGGCAGTGCTTGATTAAAAAAGCATGGGAATGGCATCACTTGACAGGGGCAATCAGGATAAATGTTATCCTGACAAGTCCCAGTGATTGCAAACTTGCTAAAAAGTAACATGGTTTAATATCATGGTTAAAAATTCCACATACTGAATTCAATTTTGTAAATTTCAACTGAAGAATCATAAACTAAGAGCCTACATGCAGGGTGTTAAGTGTTGATAAGAATTCAGGTCCTGCTGCTTAAAGTACCTAAAATTTACTTTGACATAGCTACTTAAATTCGGAGTGTCTCAGTTGCTCCTTCTTCAAAATAGAAGCTATTTATATCTTGTCTTCTAGGACATAAAGAATGATTTAACCTTGACCTCGAGTTTTCCATAATGTTGGTAAACAATCCAAGTATCATTTCACTCCTTTGAACAATAGCTTTCTAATCTTAAGTATGTGAAATAAATGCATAATTTAAATTAGTCAAATAGGAGAATGGTAATTAATGTTGATATCTTCTCATAAATGAACATAAGTTGATTATATTTATTAGGATTCCTTAAGAACTTATAATGTTTATTAGGAATTAAAACAAGATACATTATAAACGTATAAATTAAATAATTTAATTACAAGAAATTTACAGATATTAGAAAAGATTCCTGTCAAAACATAATTTTAAAATAAACATTTAAACTGAGTACTTTATTAAATGCCTCTAAAATAGCTTCTTGTAATTATTTTTCATTGAGTCAAAGTCCTTCCCCATAAATTCTTATTTTACAATGAATTTCTTCAAAATTATTACATACAATTCCAGTGTTTTGGAATTATTAAAAGTCTGTGTTAGAATCCTTACAAACTCTGAATAAAAAGAACCTAAAAGATTGACCCAAAAGTAAAAATTAACAAAATAGAATATCTAAATTTTTCCCCATTACCTTTCACAATAATCCTCTGTTGAATTAATGGAACAAACTGAGTTTCTTATTGTTGGTATTACCATTATTTTAGCACCTTTCCATACCGCCTCAGCTACCATTAATCACTGAATTTGTACCCAAAATTTTCTCTAAATCTCAAATAATCAACCATATTATGTTATTAATCCCAAGATTAAGACAATAAAAATTTTCTGAGTCCTATACATCACTCACAATATGCCAGTTTTTGTACAAGGCATAACACTCTAAAGCACTCAATGTGGCCACCTGTAATTCCTAACACTTTAGTGTAATATACTCAATATTAGGAAATAGTTTGGGCTTTCCTATAGTAATTGAAATAAGTAGCTCCTTACATTAATAATTATGGGAAAATAGTTTTATAGGAAAACTTTAAGGTTTGATTTTACATGCTTCATAATTTACTATACCTCACACTAGAATGTTTATGTAGTTCTTTATGTTTTTTAATTTTTTTTATATTTTAAAATTTTATTATTGACTCTGTTACAGATGTCCCCCATTTTCCTCCCTTTTGCCTCTCTCCACCCTGCCCCCACCCCTCCGGAAGGGCTTCACCATGTTGTTGTCTGTGTCCATGGGCTACGCATATTGCATATATATTCTTTGGTTAATGCATGCATCCTTGCAGTTTGTTCCATGCATCCATGCCCCGGTCCTATTTTGTACATCAGTTTATTTTGTCTTTAGATTCCACATATAAGTAAGATCATGTGATATTTGTCTTTCTCTGACTGGCTTATTTTGCTTAGCATAATAATCTCCAGGTCCATCCAGGCTGTCACAAAGGATAGGAGTTCCTTCTGTTTAACAGCCATGTAGTATTCCATTGTGTAAATGTACCACAGCTTTTTTATCCTGGAGTGTTTACATAATTATCATAAAATTATTAAAATCTAAACTATTTAAAATAAAACCAAATTAGAGATTATTTGATAAATCACTTTATGGACACAGTAATAATATATAATAATTATTTTTAAATAAAGTTTCATCCATTGATCTGTGCTTTGATAAAGCTAATATTCAACTGTAATAATGGGTTAAATTAATCCTAGAGACTATTGTTCCTTTAACCTACTTCAAAAATAGACAGTAAAGCCCTGGCTAGGTTGCTCAGTTGGTTGGAGCATCCCATACAACAAAAGGTTGCAGGTTCAATTGTGAGTCAGGGCACATACCTAGGTTACAGGTTTGATCCTGGTTCGGGGAGCATATGGGACACAATCAGTCGATGTTTCTCTCTCACACTGATATTTCTCTCTCTGTTCCTCTCTCTAAAAAATCAAACACATCCTCGGGTGAGGATTAAAAAATGTTATATAAATATAAACCAGCTAGCTCGATAGATTATAGTTCAAATAAAAATGTTTTTCCTCTTTTACTACAAGAACAAATGTTGACTAAAACCATGAATCAAAAGTTAGATATCGCAAAAGAAATGCTTTAAAAAAATAATCAAAATACTTTTTTATAATATTCTAAAAAATACAAGTTAGCCTAGCCAAGCATGGCTCAGCAGTTGAGCATCGGCCTAGGATCCAGGAGATTGTGGTCCGATTCCCGGTGAGGGTACATGTCCAGGTTGTAGGCTAGATCTCCAGTTGGGGGTGTGCAGGAGGCAGCCAATCAATGACTCTCATCATTAATGTTTCTATCTCTCTCTCTGAAATCAATAAAGATATATTTAAAAAAATAAAAATTAAATTAAAATAAAATAAAAATAAAAAATACAAGTTAACTGTAGTTTGGATTATGATTATTTAGATCCCATTTGACTTACAATAGCCCAAGTCAAAACTGCAATTCATTTGAGAAGTATTATCGCCAAAGTTCTTAAAATCAAGTATAAGGGATAAAAATATATGTAATATCACTAATTACTACATTTTCTTAAGAAGACACACAAAAATATGCAACGGACAGTCACTGAATTAGGTCCATTTATTAGATCATTCGATAAAACATTTACTGAGTACCTTTTATGTATCTGCAATTAAACTAGCTAAACTAGAGGCTCTAACTTCTGTGTACAAACAAGTCTAAATGACTAAAATATTAGAAAATAGGAAAGTTGTATCAACTGACTTTCCTCCATGATATATGTAATTCTACTTTGAGTTCATCAGGACAGAAATGATTCTTAATATAGTCTTCTAGTTTGGTCAAAGACTCCTTGCCAGGCATAAGACAAACTGAGAGTATAAACACTGTTAATGAAGCAGTGACTCAATCTTCAGTGAATGACAGTAAGATTTTTAAAAAGTTAAAATTTTTTTTTATAAAATGCAAATATTCCCTGCATGTTTAATTTCAGCAGAATGTATAAAGTTCATAAATATGAGAGCATTAACAAATAAGACATATAAACTGTATTTAAAGGATATATTGACGTTATTAAATGGCATAGAAAAGTGCTAATAGAATCAAGTTGTCAAATACATGAGAGGCAGCAAAGCAGAGATTCATGGCATTAGTGATTTCAAGGATAGTATGAATTTCATAAAGCTCCAACACACTGCTTTCCAAATTATACTTTGCAAGTTGTTAGTTCACTACACTCATGAAGTCAGAATTTGAAAATGGATGGGATTTTTACAATAGCTTTCATTGCCTCTATTACTATTGGCTCTTTTATTGCAATCTGGTCACCCATTTTGAAAACGTGTACAACTAGCCACAAAAGAAAGCTAAGCAAGATGTGTGTTAATATTTTTACAAAGCTCATAACTAGTATTAGAATAACATGCATGATTTACTGCTGATATAATAAAGACCATTATTTCAATGTATCAATGTATATATATGTAAATTAAAAAGTACCCTGGGCCCAATCACTCTCCTTAGAATTGCTTTACAATACAGGTTTTGTTTATACACTTCTTTTGTTAAATGCACTTGATTATAGTGCCTTTTTCAACTCTTTTGCTCCTTTGAAATAATAAATCCTTTCCTACTAAATGATAAAATGCAAAAAAAAACTGCTGCCATTTTTTCCCCCATATCTTGCAAATCTGTGACAAAAACATACATTTGAAATTCATGACTATCATAAATGGACTTGAAAAAAGGATACAAAAAGTATAAATGGAAAAGAAACTGTATGAAAAAGAATTTTACTCTGAAAAAAAAAACTTGAGGCCTCATGCAAGAGAGCTGTTGTTAGATAAAAGGAATGAAAAAATAAATTAGTAAATGCTTCTGAGACTTTCTGAAATAAGAAATTCAAGAGGTGGAGGAGAATAGATCTAAAAATGTCTGAATTATTCTACTCCTTCCTGTCAAAAACAAGGGTCTATCAAAGATTCACAGAGTTCTGGGGGCAAATGAGTAGAGATCCTCTACTAGTGAATAGCATATGTGATGGTTAATTTTATGTGCCAGCTTTACTGCCTAGATATCTGGTTAATCATTATTTCTGGGTGCATCTGTGAGGGTGCTTCTGTATGAAATTAACATTTACACTAGCAGACTAAAAAAGCAGGTTGCCCTCCCTAATTGTGATGGGCTTTGCCCAATCCATTGAAGGTCTGAATAGAATAAAAAGTTGAGTAAGAGAACATTCTCTTTCTGTCTGCCTGTCTTCGCACTAGGACACAGAGCTCTTCCCTTCAAACTCAGACTTGAATAGGGACTGGAACTATCAGCTCTCCTGGTTCTCAGGCCTTTGGACAAGACTGGACCTATTCCATTGGCTCTCCTGGATCTCCAGCTTACTGGCTATAGATCTTGGACTTCTCAGACTCCATAACAGCGTGAGCCAATTATTTATAGTATATCAATCTCTCTCTCTCTCTCTGTGTATATATATATATATATATATATATATATCTTTCAGAATAATGATGTCTCATTAAGGAAAATTAAAGGGTTATAGCCTATTGGTTTTGTTTCTCTGGAGAACCCAGATTAATACAGGATAGAAGCTGTGATAACGTGAATTTCAAGAACTATGCAAAGGAGGAAAATAAACTGACTTCCTAAACATGCCCATAATATCCTGTGATAGGCACATGTTTACACTAATACACTAGATTCAATCTACTCATTCAGCATGTTCTTATCTAGAGAAAGGGTCTTAGCGATAGAAAGTCATCTTTTCTCCTGCTGTACAAGTAACTAGCACATTGCCTGGCTAATTGCATTGCTCAATAAATTCTGGAGTAAATGAATAAATGAGCAAATAACTCCAAGCATACATATTTCTAGTAGACTAACTGCTAGCAAGCTGAGGTCATCATCTGATCATTTTATTTTTTATAGAAACAATAGGTAATAGTTTCCTTTGTTTTAGAACTAACAGTTTAACTCTGAATAAATATAAATTAACATGATGTTTAGTAAAAAGGCAAAAAAAATTGTAATTCAAAGATAGGCTGAAAGGTATATGCTTCTTAAACACTGGTAGAATGCTAATCAAATGTCATGTATTCTAAGACAAATTCAATTGGAATGGAAAAAATAATATATATTTACTTGCCATTTTGACTATGTAATTTTTCTGTAAAGGACGATTTTAAGTGGTCTGAGCTAGGTTTGTATAGTTTTTAACTCACTTGTCTTTGTATGTTTATTATATATAAAAAACACAAGAAGTTGCTTTTTACTTGCTATAGTCCTATTTTTTGTCTCTGAGAAACTATAAGAAATTTATTCCCAATATTTAGCCAAAATATCCCCAAATAATTTTAAAGCGATGGTTTTCAAATAGCAATTGTGATTACTTTATGATCCTTAGAATCTTAAGACAAGACCAACTGATCATACATTTTTATACATGTATTTAAATTCAGGGAAGATAAATGAAAAGCCCTACTTTGTGAAGTGGATATTTAATTTCATATATCATTACCTTTGTAAGGTTATTACTAAAGAAATGATTTAATGTTCACCTTTAGTTGCAGTGCCTTCTCTAAGTTTTCAATCTTTCTTTCAGCTTTCCTCAGCTTCTTTAGCTCCTCTGCATCTGTGACAGAGCTCTTTGGGGACAAAGACCTTGAACGTTTCACAGGTGGTTCCTCGAGAATAAAACAAGGACATGGTTGAACTAGTTGGAACACTGGATTATGAAAGACATGCAAAATTAAAGAACAAGTAATTCTGAATACTAATAATGAATTATAAAAAAAAATCCTGCATGGAATACCAGAGAAATAACAAGCCGAATTACCACAGTGCTCCTGCTAAAGGTTTCTCTGTGACTCGTTAATGAGAATATTCATTTACATTTACATTGTTTCTTTCAGAATAATGATGTCCCATTAGGGAAGACTAAAGGGTTATAGACTCAGAAATGCAAGAAACCTCATTACAAAGGAGGGGATAGAGGCTGGTCTAATTGCTCTATAAGGGTCCAAGGTTACACTTGATAGGACAACCAGAAACAAGAGGGAAAGGATTTTTTTCCCTTTGAAATAGTTTAACACACTGTGAAGTTGAAGGAACAATATGCTTGAGGAATATAAATACAACAGACAGTAGATCTTATACCATAATGACCATATGGTCATTAACTATAATGTGGCTAACTAGAGACATGAATGTGTGTTTATATTATGTACAGCTTCATATACCAATCTGCAGAAGGAATATGTAAAAGCAACTATTAAGCTGAGCAACATATTGTTCATACTTACTGAATGTCCTTATGAAAGAAAGAAAATTTTGTTCAAAATATGCCTCTTGTTTTCCTGACTTTTATTAAAAGCAATGAAACATCAAATCAGTACATTTTCAAACTTCAGCAATACAAGCAACAAAATTAGGTCCTGTAATGTTTTCTCTCAATTTTAGGAAAGTCTTATTCCATTTAAATAAAGCTCAATGCCATGAAAGTACTCCAAAATTGCAAGAAACATAAAATGCAGTTATGTTTAAATTTAAAAAAATACATAAATCATACATACATATATAAAGTTCTTTTTTCTGAAAACACTAACAACATTAGAGGGAGTAAATAAAAGTACCACAGAAACATAGATCTAATTTTAAATGCTTTCTTTATTAAGACAGGTTGTTCTACTCAGGAAAACTGAAAAGAACCAAAAACAATTATCATGAAAACAGAGCTTACTACTTTTAAAAATATTATTTTCTATTGCTGAAGTAACAAGTGTAAGAAAAATGTGTCTAAAACTACTTCTTTTTAGGGAAACATTCCAATTTTGTCTAGAAATAACATATTTACAATATGATATTATGAAATTTTAACATCAGTCAATGTTCATAGAATTTTTTGCACCATAACAGGAATATGTAATGAATACTACAAAAAGGGAAAGCTGAGATGTTAATAGACAGCAAACAAGTTACAAAAATTGCTTATTTTTCACTATTGCTATGCATTTAAATCTAAAACTTTATAACTGCATATTAATGTTAAATTCCATTCAATAGTTTATATTCCACATGGGCAGTATTTAAATATCTCTGAATGAAACAAAAAAATTAAGATATATTATTCTTCTAATTAAAATCAGAATATTGAGTTAATGACTAATACCACTTTAAAATTTTTACATAGATTAATTTATCTATAGACTGGATAAAATGAACTTCATTTATCCAATCTATAGATAAATTAATATAAGAACATTAATTTACTGCAAAAACAGGTGTAATGACACTAATATATTTCATTAATTAAACTAGGACTATATATTCAATCTTTAAAAAGAGAAAACATTCTACTCCCAACAATTATTTTATCCAATGTTTAGAACATAATATTTTTTTAAAACAGAGAAATAAATGTGGCTCCCTGCTTTTTAACTTGATTGCTTGCCTGGTCAGCTTCATCCTGAAAATTTCACAAAATAACAAAAATGTCCCTACCTTTTGTTTCCCTTCAGCACTTGTCAAGATGCTCTTTTCTGAGGAACTCTTCTTGTTGATAAATCTGTTCTCTGACAGTTTTTCATTTGCTATTTTCAGTTTCTCCTGTAAATACTCAATTTCAGACTTCTGTGAGACCATTAGGGTTTCTAAACTCGATAAAGATGGCTGTTGAAATACCTATTTAAAAAAGTATATATGCAACTACAATTATAGCTTATATTACATATATGCAAATATTTAAATATGTCATAAATATTTAGAGAATGAACATTTCATTTTAATAATAAACTGTAAGCCAGCATTAGCTTAACTCTATCATCCTAATAAAATATTTTTCAACAAAATAACTAAGAGTCTGTATAAACATTTTCATAAATAATATTGTCGTAGATTTGCAAGAGAAAAAATTTCAAGAATGGTTGCATGATACACACCACTGAACTATAAATTATTTCAAATTTATGATTATACACATATGCATTTCCTCATCAAATACTCAGCACACCATCTGATCATCAAGAGTTATGCAATACCATAGAATATAAAACTGGGAAAAGGAAACCAGCAGCACTATAGGTCCAATTAGCTCTTAATATATCATAATTTGATAACAACTCAAAGAACTCTGATAGCTTTAAAAGGTAATATAGTTTACAGTATTCCCTTTTGAAATTTATTCTTATGTCAGATAAATTGCTAATGGTAAGCATCACATTTTAACAAAGAAATCACAGGAAAATTAAGCTTGGAGGAAACCTGTTCATGAAAACTAGCATTCTGCAAAATTCTATTGCCATCCTGACTGAATATATTTGAAACCACTAAAATCCATGCATATATGGTATTTCAAATTAACAACTTCATTTACAAAAATAAAACACACTAACTCATAGTGAAAACAGTTTTTATTTCCAGCAAAGTCAAATCTTACGATTCTAATATTATTAATATGAATATAGTAGCCTTGGAAAATAGTTTAATTTCAAAAAAATAAAATGTAAAGAGCCCCACACTTCCTAAATGGTATTCTCAAAGACTATGAGAAAAATATGTATGTCGAACTTTTCTGAACAATGGGAAAAATTATCATTTTCTGGTTTTGACTAATTTTTTCTTTTTTTAGATAGGCAGTATTTTCCTAATTCTATGCTGAAATTTTTATAATTTGTGGGAGCAGTTATCTGTGATTTATACTATTACACTTACCTCACATATAAATCACCTGATTGGTTTCCCAACCTTTATTCTATCATACTACTAAATATTTTTTTCAGTGTTCTTCATACATTGTACTGCTACCACAGTTACAATATAATAAAAACTTAATTACCTTGCTTTGAACATCAAATTGAAATACTTTAAGCTCTTTTCTTCCAAACTCTAAAGGACTTTGCCCTATTCTTCCCTCCCCCTTTTATTAACTGTAGAGCTTTGATTTCATTTATTTTTTTCTTTCTATTTGATAAGCTAATATATGGTACATTAATGAACCAATATTCATATACATTATTTTGTTGTTGTTATTAATCCTCACCTGAGGATATTTTTCCATTGATTTTTTTTTAGAGAGAATAGGAGGGGGAGAGACAGAGAGAGAAACATCAATGTGAGAGAGACACATTGATTGGTTGCCTCCCACACCCTCCTGGATCAGTGCCAGGATGGAGCCTGCAACCTAGGTACATGCCCTTGCCCAGAACTGAACCACCGGCCCTTCAGTCCACAGGCCAACACTCTAACCACTGAGCTAAACTGGCTAGGGCTCATATATTATTTTTAATTGAAGTCCATAGTTTATTCAAATTTCCAGTTTTTATCTAATGTCCTTTTCTGTTCCAGGATCCAATCCAGGATACCATAATACATTTAGTGTCAAGTCAGCAACTTTTGGCTGTGACAATACTTATTTTTTACAGCAGTGACAGATCTGAGGAGTATTATTCAGGCATACTTAGGATGTCCCAGCTGTTGGAATTTGTCTATGTTTTTCTCATGATTAGACTGTGCTTATAAGCTTGGGGGAGGAAGATCACAGAAGTAAAGTGCCATTTTCATCATATGTCAAAGGGTACATATTATCAACATGATTTGACTATTGACATTGACCTTGATCACCTGGCTAAAGTAATGTCTGTCCGTTTACTCCATTATAAAGTGACCCTTTTGTGTCTCATCCATATAATACTCAATTAACTGGCTTTTAAAACTTAACAATTACATGTGTAATTATTGTATGTATAATAATCTGAGGATATATGTATATCGTTATATATCCTTACTTATCCCTATCTCTTTTTTTAATATATATTTTTATTGTTGACTGTATTAATAGTGGTCAGTTTAAAGAGATTAGTACCCCAATTCTCCCCTATCATTATGTCTTTTATGTGCTGTTTTTATAGGCTTAACAAAATCAAGACAACCAATCCCAGTCTGTGGAAGTTTATTCTATCTAATGCCCTTAAAATCTGAGAATCTTTGAAAAGTTAACTCTTCTTGCTAAGAATTATTAGTATTTTATAAATAAACTTTTTTCTGTAATATAAAAAATCCTGTGCACCTTTTCAGTTTACAGTCTTGGAAGATAATAGTATGGTGTAGACCATAGTTAATCTGATGAGAAATGATCAGTGGAGTGTATCCAAGTGCTGCCGATTGGAACTAATCTCTTTAAACTGACCGCTATTAATACATAATTTTTTTTCACATTGGTCCACAGAGGTAATTTTGATCAAAAAGTCCTGCAGAAGCCCAGCTGGCGTGGCTCAGTGGTTGAGCTTCGACCTATGAACCAAGAGGTCACTGGTTTGACTCCCAATCAGAGCACATGCCTGAGTTGTGGGCTCAGTCCCCAGTAGGGGTGTGCAGAAGGCAGCCCATCAATGACTATCTCTCATCATTGATGTTTCTATCTCTCTCTCCCTCTCCCTTCCTCTCTCTGAAATCAATAAAAACATTGTTATTTTTTAAAAGTTCTATAGAAGATACAGAGTTAGAAGGAGAGGGAACAGAAGAAACTTGAAGTGTTGTGCCAAAAAATATATATGTAAATTAAATATCTAGTCATGTTGCTTTAAATTCAAGCAAGATTGTGCAGCATTAATACAGAATATAGGCTGAGGAAATAATGCCAAATAAACAGAAAAAAATTTCTAAGCTGTAACAGTTGCAAAGAACTGTAAGTTCAATTGTTATGTCTTATTAGTAAATTTTAATTAAATATATTAGTTTGTTTCCTACTTTATTAAAATAATAACTAGCATTTAATAAAAAATTATTGAGTTCCTAGCTGTAGGTAAGCATTTCACATACATCATCTCACTTATTTAAGAAATTTATAGATTCCAAACCTGTCAACACATAATAAAGTCTATTTCAAACAAAAGTATTTAAAAAGGACATGATACTTCAGAAAAAAATAGTTTCTCCCAAAGTAATATCTCATTGAAAATATAGTAGAGGTTGAATATATGTGTGTTTTTAAAATCTTTATGTATATATAAATAATATCTAACATACACATATATATATCAGAGATATTGACATCTTGAACATTCTCTGAAAAATTAACTGAAATCCTCTTGGAAGAAGAGTATAAAAATGTAAAAATATACATGTATTTTATTAAAGAGTATATATGTATAAAATTTTCTTCTCATAAAATGCCTGAATCTCTGCAAAAACTTGACATTTTATTTAAAAACGATTTTAGAAATGCAGAAATATATTGTCAATTTATAAAACCAACATTATTAGATGAATTATCCATAACTTGAAGACAAATGACTTTAAAAACAACCATGTGCTCCTTTAAAAAATGGAAAAAATACAGAATCAACACGATATTATAAATCAAAATAGTTTTATCACAAAAGTTCACAAATGGAATTACATGTACCAACTTAAACTCACACTTCACTTTTAGAAAGGCTACTAAATTGAGTAATGTCTAAATTTAACCAAGTCAGCTCGCAGTCTCTTTAAAAATGTTAATATTTGCATTTCCTCCATACATTCACTTTTAATCCAAATATCCTCAGGTTGAATCTAGAGATCACAAAATATAATGAAATTATGTACTACATTTATAAAATTTAAACTATCACCCTCTCCTCTCATAAACACCATTCTAATGTTACCTTATAACAAAATTCAGTACTACAGTCAGTCAAATTAAACTTTCCTTTATTATAAAAACTTGTGTGGGTACAGCCAAATTCGTGAACAGCAAAATAAAAGGTAAAAATTTCATTTCATAAATTTAACTACTTCCATGTATCATGTAAAGTTTAACAGTGAATGAGTTATAAATAGGGTTTTATTGGTTTACAGTGACATCCAGTAGATGACAATAGTATCTTTGTTAAAACCACAAGCTAATTATTTCTTCTATGATGTAAATGTTACACTGCTTTGACAAAAATTAGTGGTATTTACATGTCACAGAAGAGTGTTTAGAGTATTAACTCTGTAATATACACATTGATTGTGGATTCTAATCCCAAGAATAAACTAATCCTGGGTTTACTAAAAAAGTTAGGATGGAAAGACTAAGTGATTTTTCTATAGATTTGTTTTTTGCCTTAAATAGCAAAATTGAACACAACTGAGTTTTTCCAAAAGATGTTATAATACCTCATACTCTGCCAGAATTCTGAATATTTAAAATATATCTGTTAACAGTGTCCTAAAACAAATTTCTAAATTTGAGGAATTAAATTTCCTCTTCCATGTATTTCTAAATATGCGACTTTTAGGTGCAATCCATTACTTATTATAATGCATACTCTGAGTTTTATAAATATTTGACACTTATGTCACCAGCAAAAAAAAAAATCAAAATGTGTGCGCTAATGGTATAAGCAAGGGACTATGCTTGTTATGCATTATCATCTCTATACATTAAAACCTCAATCATACTCAAACAAATTCACTAAAGTGTGGTTTTCAATCTGCTAACTATGCATTCCATAATAGCCTGTAATTATTAAAAACTGACAAGAAAGCTACGCCACCTGTGTTTATGTGAAGCCAGGTAATGAAAAAAACAACAACGCTGTCATCACCTCTCAATTCCTGATTGCATTATCAAAACTGTAGCCGAGTTTGGCATCTGGGTGTGACCTTGTTAACTGCTAGGGTAATTAAATTTATTCTATTGGGAAAAAGGATGATAA